CAGGACAAATATATTTAAAAATTAAAACAGCATTAGTGAGTTTGAGGACAGCTTCAGATTGCCTAATATACAACAATTTGCAATTCCTGAAGAAAGGGAGTAGCAAAATTTATTTAAAGTAATAATAAGGGGACATTTTCCAAATTTGATTTAAATATAAACACCAGAAAATCAAGAAACTTTGTATGCTCCCCTCCACCTCCAAAAAAAGATAAGGGTTGGCTATCTGGAAATAAAGACAATTCTAGATTAAGGAAATAGTATGATTAGGAGTAGGTACCATGTTCCTCACTCCACTTAATGACTTAATTTTAAAAAGCTAAAGGATGGTATGTATACGAGCATCCAGTTTTCAAATATGTCAAGAACACTGTAACAATAGTTGAGAGTTTACAAGGCAGCCAAAGGAAGAGGACAGAAAATACTGTGAAAGGAATAAAAGATAAAGGTAATACATTACTATGGCAGAAGCAGAAAGCTAACAGTCAGCTGGTGGTATTGCCATTTTATATTTTCTTCTCCAGAACTAAAGATTCAGATCTGAAGGCAGACCAGGGAAGTAGTCATGACACGTCTCTGGAAGTGTATGCAAACATTGTGGTGCCCTGGTAGAGCAGCCATATCTCAGTCTGCTGGTTCTTCCTTGGACAGAGATTCAGACTGGCATCACAGATTTCAAATCCAACTATCCATTGAATTATTTTTAAGTGCTCATTTACTTTCTGCTACAGTGATTTATAAAATGTGCTATTACACAATAGCTGTCTGCTCATTTACAAAATACTCATGCATTAATAGACATGAATGAATTGCAATTAATGATGCTAAGCAATGTGGATTATGATCACATGTGAACATTCTGTGCTACTCATGCATCCATCTAATCACAGAATGCACTGATTCCGTCACTGAGACTAACCTGATAGGATATGGTAATAAGTTGACATAATTAATGCATATACTGGTCTAAAAATTGTATCAAATATATTCCTTATGTTGAAATAGCATAATTACTGCAGCAAAGACCAACAGTCTCTCACTGAAACAAATTATGCTGGGTGGCATAATTCATTGACAGTAAAATAACAATCAATGTGAAAATATGTGATGGTGTCTATAAAAGATATTTTACTGACAATATGTACATTGCAAATTCTATTGGTTCAGGGCAGATGCTCTGTAATAATTGGATTTTTTTATCTTCTACAGTGAATATTTTTTAGGTTATCTGTGAAATTAAATCTGAATTTTAAATACAAAAAAAAAATGACGGGCAGAGCTAAGCAGTTGGTGAAACTGACAAGCTATTTGAAATTAAACAAATAAATCCTCACCATACATATGTTGTGCAGCTCTCCCTGACCCACTCAAAACTATAAAGAGAAAACATAATAAATACTTATTTTTATAGGTATGAGGCTAAGCAGTCAGGTGACGCTATAGAACCTGGAAGACAGGTGGGTTCAGAGAGACACGTGGAGAAGAAAGGCATACTTGCTTCTTGGTTTTGCTCTTGCACCAGGGATTTAGGAGACATGGAAGGGGACTCATGGAGGACAGATGTGCAGACACTTAAGAGAGACATGAGCTTGAGAAACATGAAGGGAGGCTGACAACATCAGCTATTATCTTAACGTGGTATTTCCTTTAAATACAGTTTTCTGGGACCTGCTTGAGAACCCCATTCCTATGATTCCCATTAGAAAGTGCCTTGAGTTGTGGCAAGCTCTTCAGCAGCGCCTCTTCAGTCTGACCCTGATTGACCGGGCATTGTATTTGCCCTCACAGGGATCAAAACATGGGGAATATCTTCTTTTCTCTCTCTATGCACAAAGATAATATTAAAGTTCTTTTACACTAAGAGTCTGTTTTGTCTTTGTGCACATAGATGGCAGGATCTCTTTATAGCATGCAAATTTGGGGATTCTGTGGTGCCCCCTGGTCTCATGCTAACAGTTATTAACTGAGTTCAATTCAGAAGCCTTTGCAACAACAACAACAACAAAAATGAATAAAACAAAAGTACCCTAACAAGGCATATAGTCCAACATAGGAAATGAAACAAGAACTCGAATAAATATAATGCATTATATTATGGTATAATGACTATGCAAAACTACTGATGAAGCGATGAGGAAGGGATGATGATTTCTTGTGAAGAAAATTTAGTGAATAATTCGTGGAGTAAGGGACCTCTGAATGGGGTTTAATAACAGAGACAATTATAAAAGCAATATATGGGCTTGAGAATGGCATTTGAAATAAAAGGTAGGGACAAAGATACTAGGTAAAAAGGGTGGAATTAATACTTATAAGCAAAAAATGATATCAGTTTAAGTACATTGTAGAAAACTTAGTTGGAACAGTAAGTAATACTTTTAAAATGTCTTAAAGAGCCATTGAAAGTAATAGTTGCATATTTTTTGTATAATCTTTAACCACAGCATACATGTGAAGTATTGAAATAAAACTGGATATCAAAGCCAAAAGATGTGTTCTTTTTTTTTTTTAATATTAAATTTTATTTTTATATTCCCCCATACAATTGCAAACGCCCCATTCTGACCCCAATCCGCTGACTGAAGTTTATCTGTTGTTCTTTCCTCTAGTATCCATGTGGTAGTTTTAAAATATTCATTTCATCATTGATTTCTTTGTGTTTATAAGCCTAACACTTCAACAACCAGAAATAGGCAGCGATGTCTAGAACATATATTATGTGCACAAAAAGCATTTTTAGAAATACTATCATTCTAATTCTTAAACAGTTTGCATGCTCAGAGAACACAGAATTGCTTTCCCAATTCTGAAAGATTAAACTAGAACAAATTATATGTTAAAAAAAAACCTGACCAATTATTAGGAGTTCAGTATTTCAGCTTTAAGAAAAAGAGTGAGAGCCTCTCCTGGTGGCGCAGGCGGTTGAGTGCAGTGCTGTAAAGCTGGCCACAGCCTCTGCAGCGCGGGTTCGATCCTGGCTGGCCCACGAGGGTCCCACATGGCGCAGCAGACCTCTCCTGTCTTGCCTGCTGCTCCCCTCAGCAGTGTATTTCAGTCAGTCTGCCTGTTTTTTTCCCCACTCTGTCTCTGGTGAATCCTCTCACCCTCCCACACATCTGGCCTGTACCCCGGTTCTCATATGCAGAAAAAATAAATCTTTTTAAAGAAAAAGAGTGAAATGTCCCTCAGAATTTTTTGCAAATGAGCTGGATATAAATGAAGATATAGATGTATCCATGATAAAAACAAGATGTCTTTTCCACCAAAAGGAGAAAAAACCAGATGTGGAGATTTAGTCAAATACTGATGAATGTAAAGAAAGAAGTTGATCAAAAATGGTGAAATCCTGCCCTCCTGTTGTGAATCACAACAATGTTCACATTGAATTCTAACAGTCTAAAATTGTTTTGTCAAGTATTACATATATCAGGACCACTCAGGAGTTAATTGTTCTTTCTGATGTGCATTTTTGGTATGTGGTTAAAAAAAATCCACATAACATAAATTTTAGCAACTTAATCACTTAACACCACAATTCAGTAGCATCAATATTGTCACATTATATGAGAATGATCTCCAAAATCTTTACATCTTGTGAATCTGAAATTCTACTCCCATTAAATAAATACTTTCCTTTCCCCTGACCCCAGGCTCTGGCAGCTACCATTCCTCTCTGCCTCCATAAACTTGATCGTTCCAGATACCTCATTTAAATGGGGTAACACAGTGTTTGTCCCTCAGACTGACTGGCTTCATTGTGCTGCCTGTCCTTAAGCTTCATCCATGCTGTGACCTGGGAAAAGCTCTCACTGTGTGCATTTTTCAAATGTATCCAGAGTTTCCATTTGTGACACAAACATTTTCTTCCATCTTTTCTTTCTTTTTTTAAAAAATTAATATCTTTACCAGTACCAGTGGGTTTTCATTTATTTGTCTGCATTAATTTTGGGGGGAGCATAGTGCACAAAATATTTGTATTGATCCTCTGAATATTACTGATGAAAAGAATTGAAATACAGCAAAGGCATGCACATTACAGATGTCTGAAGTGTGAGAATAGGAGTGGTTTGTGCTGATTTATATTTTACTCAAAAAGTTGTGTTTGTTAAGTAGTTTTTCATGTGTCTACTTCTCAGTATACTTCACTCAGATTTATGCCCTAGTAAAAATAGCAGTTACTTCATGCCATGTATGTATTCACTTACAAAGAGTAGAAAATAATAAATCCATGAACATCAAGAATTTGCTTTGTCTCTGAAGTAAAATAGTTTAAGTTCTCCTCCCTCTGATCTAATGAGCTTCTAATCTTAATCCAGTGAGATGTAGAAACTAGGTGCTCAATTAATCTCTCTATGAAGCCTATTTTGCTACTGTGAAAATGATGTTGAAACTGACATAAAAATTATTGCAGCCAGGATTAATATCTTGCAGAAAGCACATAAGAGACGATTATGCACACTGGATCTTCTTTCAGTTTCTAAGCCAAGGAGGTCTTTCCTGAAGCTATTGCACCTGCTGCTCCTTCTGTGGAGAGCACTCTCCTTCAAGAGATTAGTAACCGTGGTTCTTTTTTGTTATTTAGATAAGCATTTTAAATATCACTTAATCAAAAGGGCTTACTTGACCACTCAATCTAATAACACTGGCCCTTCCTGGAGTTAATCCACTGAATTTTTTGTTTTCCTAATACGAGTTCTGTATGAAACTGTTTTTTATTTATTTGTCTGTGATCCTTTTCACCTTCCAAGGAGATAGGCTTCACACATAAAGCCCTTTTTCCTGTTGTTGCTCCATTTATACTAACAGGAACCAAAGAGATAATTAATTGTTGCTGAATTGATAAATAACTGAATATATGCAATATTAATTATACTATTATATTTAAAAGCTTATACAAAGAAAACTGTAGTAAAATGAAGAAACAATAATATACAAATGAGGAAATAATTAAATATCCATAACACACATATGTATACAGTCAAAACATTTCCACAATTTACCTTTCCATATATGCTTAGTCTTTTGGAATCAATGTATGGCTGTTTAAGTAAAAATCTACAATGAAAAAGACAAAAGAACAGTTACATCTGGAGTCAATGCATGCAGGAATTCATTCTTGACATTCAAAACAAACAAAACAACACAGAAGTCAGATTAGAAATACTGAAGGAATTATTTCATGTAGAAGGGTCATATATTCAAAATCTTGCTCCTCAAAATGATGGTACAACAGTTTTGCTACCTCCTGGTAACTTGGTACAAATGCAAAGTCTTGGGCTCGATTCCAGCCCTACTGAATCATCTCTATTGTAATATCTTAGCCAATTTATAGGAACTATTTTAAAGAACCTACTAGCTTTCTCAGGTGATCCTTTCATGCCAATGTGATAATGGTATCTATGAAAACTCAAGAATTGTTAATTAACTAGGAAAATAATAGACATTATGGATTATGGTAAATAAATAATATATAGCTTAATTAAAGTTTCTCCATTTTCATAAATCCAAAGTGAATTCTAATTCCACAGGGGAAGTATGATAATTCTTTTATTATGGCTCCTAGAGTGAAAGGTAATTGAAGAAAATGCAATTGTCTAAATGATGAACTTAGATAATTATCCAACCACTAAAATACAAATCTCTGAGTCAGCATCAGTGTTATTCTATATCTAGCTTCTGTCATGAACAATAGGAAAATGTGCATCCACTTACTTCACAGCTGCTATTTGGTCCTTTACTTCCACTGAACCTAACCTTCGATGAATCTCCTGCAAAATTTTCAGGCCCTGGAATCCACTTCCTCTGCCATCAAATCGTGCTATGATGACGTTATCCGTGTCTACTAATACTGAATCCCAGTCAATATGGAACTTATCTGTAACCAGCTGGCCTCCTGGTTCTTCATCCCTGCAAATACCAACACATTGGACCAAAACGAGAACAACTGACAATCAGGTAGAAATTTTTCTTTCATACTACTTAAAAATTATGGAAAAGACATATTCACTATTAAAATTTCTGTTAATCCTTGATGATAAACCTGAAAGCATAAGTTCCATTTCTTTTGTAAAAATGTTAATGATGACTGCACTGAATGAAATAAAAATATGAAACAAGATTTGAAATTGGATATGAAAGATTAATTTAATGCAGTTTTTTCAAAAGGAAAAATACATGCATTCCCCATAGGCATTCCTAAAGGATGATCATCAGGTTAACCTATAGGCCCATCTTTATTGGATTTCCTCCCAGTGTGTTTTAGAAATGTCTTGCAGCCAAAGGGTCTAATAGAGAGCAGAGTCAGTTATGGAGACTTGATAATAATTTAACAAGAAATGCACAACCCTAAAGAATGTCAGACTCAAAAAGAAATACTGCATTAATAATTCCTGATTTTTTTTTTTTTGAGGTGAAATTCTCACTGCAGAAAAGTTAAGCAAACAGTGAGGAAAAGTTCTTTTTCATCACTAAAGTTGACAGCAAGGAAGGGAAGCAGAGACACACTTGTTTGAAAAATTTCAAAGCTAAAAGAAGGATATACAACATGAACATTCTCTATAGAGGGAAAGGCTGATATAAATTTTTAGCTACAAGTTTTCATACAACAGATTATAATGCTATTATTTTTCAGAATAAAGAAAAAGTAAAAAAGGAGATTCCAATAAAATCACAGATTATCCAGGTCTAAACCTATATATAATTCAAGCACAGTTGTCTAGGTGATAGATTGGAAGAACATTAAAACACCTAACTCTGCAAAGATCTCCATTTTCAGTTGGGCTACATTCCAGAAATATCTGTAAAGATACCAAACGCTCTTGCCTTCATATTTATGCAAATATGTTATCTAGCAGCATCAAAATACAAGCTGATCCTCAACAAGATTTTAGATTATCAGAGATTTGCTAAAGAGGATAATTTTCAGGTAACAAAGGGAATTGAGCAGATAAAGAGGCTGTGTGGTACCAGTGAGTTAGGCCAAAGAGGAAGTAGGGAATGGGATAAAACATGAATTAACTCAAATATATTGAATGTTAAAAGTTGAATTGTGGTTCCCCAGATTCATAAATTGAATCTGTAAGCCCCAGGACCATAGAATTTGGCTGTGCCTGGAGAGACAATGCCTTGACAGTGGTGATTAAAGTGGACGAGACTGTGGGTCCTAGTCCAATCTGACTGGTCTTTTATAAGAAGAAGAAATTAGGGCACACATAGAAACCTCAGCATAGAGCAAAGAACATGTGAAAAGGTAGCAAGAGGGTAGGCATCTGAAAGCTAAAGAGAAAGGCCTCAGAAGAAACCTGCTGACACCCTGATCTTGAATGACTAGCTCTGTTATTTAAGATACTCAGCTTTTGGTTTTTTAGGGAAGTCCTAGTAAACTAATGTGGTTTAAGCACTGAATATCAATTTTCTTATTTGCTTCTTTAACCAGTTTGAGGAAGAAGTTGCCTGTTGCATGGTTTTTTACACCTATGATAATTTCTATAACTTAAATAAATTGTACCATACCAAAATTTTAGACATCCCTTCTCTCCATTTCCACTAAATAACACATTTGATAAACTGTAATACAAATCCAGTACTGCTTTGTCTTTGTCTAGAAGTGCTCCAGTTATTTTTTAAATTTTTTATTCATTGTCATTTTTGCAACTTGAGCTCTTAGTTGGACTATCTGGAATTGTTACTCTACCTATCTGTGTTTTCTGATTGAGAATTCTATTGACCTACTTCAGGAAAAAGTTTAAATTGCTAGTTTTTTTCCCAGAGTCCCAGATGATACTTATATAACTTACCTACTGTTTGAGAAATAGCATGAATTATTATGCCTAGCACAGTTTCTGGCGCATGGAATACAGAGCAAATTCTTGTTGTACTAGACACTTACTGGAAAAGTGGACTCAGGAAGAAGTTTCAAATGGAAAAAGCTTAAAAACTGTTGAGTTTATATATAAACATTGTATTTTGAGCCTTGGGGATTTACTGCAAATATTAGAAAACAATACATGATATACAGAGGATGATATACCAGGATTAACTTCAATCTTTAAAGTTGAGTAAAAAATATGACACTACTTCCCAACTTCACTTTGAATATAGGTAAGACCATAAAACTTCAAGACTCAGTTTCTTTATTTTTAATAAAGGAAATTATTGTCTTTCTCCTTCAGAATTCTGTATTTCAGAACAGTTTATGGAATAGAGTCAGCAATATAAAACCAGTATTAGATTCAGGGAATAATAGAAATGTTATTACACTTGCTTGAAGACAATTTTTTTATTTATATTAAGCATATTTCTTTCATTTCAAAATGGAGAATTTATATAGAACTATGGTCAATTGTGCAGAAATTAAACTGGGCAAGATCTGTGGATGAAGATATTGTGACACATTGTGTCACACATTGTGTCACTCTTATGTCAGAAGGTCTTCCATTTTTTAGATGTACCAATGATAATCTAAAGAAAATCAAAAATTATAATCAACACATCTCTTGAAGTGTTTATTAGAGTGCTGTAAGCTAAAAGGCAGGATTTTCCAACTTTAAACACTAGTAGCAGCTCGCAAGTAACTTTGTAAAATGTTTTGTTAATTTGGAAGATATAATTCACTAATTTACATATGGCCCATTGCAGTATTCACAGTTATTTTAGGAGTCCACAGCTATGTTAAATTTAGACAAATTGTAAATAACATTTTGTGGCAGGCATATACATAATGTTAAAATATTATCATATGACATATTTTTTCAAACTACCAGTTTTTTTCCAAACAAAAAACCTTCAAATTCCATATGCCTGCAATACTCAGTGTGGAAAAAAAACAAAACAAAACACATTTTCACTCCTTGGCTCTTTTCTCTAAATTGTCCATGTTTAACTTCAACCTTGTCCTTGCAAATTTTTATGTTACAATACGAAATGTTATAAATATGTTATCAGAAAATGATTTTAATTGATTTTTCTGTCAAGTTGGGTGTGTTCTTTCTCTTTGATGATGTAGGCTGATCTGTTTCAAAGTGAATCATAAAAGAACATGGCTTTTAAAGCTAAACATTACCTTTATAAGGAACAAGCCAGATCCAGGAGCAGGGGTGGAGATTGTTTGAAAAGTGGTGATTGGAAAATATCAGATTTGTTTTTGCAAATAAAGTCAAGAAAACACTACTTATTTGGCAACGTAGGAATAACAGGATATTTGGTAGCAGAGATGACCATAGGAATGTAGTATAGACCAAATCACCCATGACATAATAAATGAGTTCTATGAGTCATGTATATTGGCTATAATAATCGGTGGGCTCTAATTCATTTGGCTTCTGTTTGTATGTCTAAGTGTCTTCTCTAAGTGTGTTCATCTTTTATTCCCCATACATTATTGTACTTTATTCTGTCCAGAAATTGCTGGGAATCTTTCGAAAGGAAGATGTTTCGAGGTGAAGAAGGGGGGCATACATTTTTGTTGAAAGTTGGGGTGAAAAGAAAAAGTCCATCTGTTTTAAGCAGTGGAAAGGTCACAACAATATGAAACTTGACTATTTCCTAACACAGACAGCAAAATCAAATAAAGATTGCAAACTTTTCCTAGAATCTAAGGTCCTCAAGGGTAGTCTTCATCTATTTCAATACCATTGATAGCGTCTGTATGGATGAAGAGCTTAGGATGAGGGCATATAATATAAAAAGAAAGATAGGTAATAGACACCACATACAATACATTTCTAAAGGACAGCATTAACAACCTCTTTACAACATACCAAAACATCATCTATGCCAAAACTGAATTAAAGCAAAATGATTTGATCAAACCACATGATTGGTCAGAATCACAAATTGCTATTTAAATTCATGAAAGAGGGTTGAATTTATCTTCAGAGTACATAGGTTGATCCTGAGTTTAGTATGAGTTACCTTGAACAATTATATACCCTTTATTATTATTATTATTATTATTATTATTATTATATTTTTTTTTTTAGTGAAAACTATCACAAAAGTCCTCCCTGGTGTCACACAGGGTTAAGTCTCAGTACTATGAAGCACTCTGCAGGCACTGCAGCATGAGTTTGATCCCTGGCCAGGGAGCTGACCAACATGGCATAGCAGACCTCTCCAATCTCACCTGCTGCTCCCCTCAGCAGTGTATTTCAATAGATCCACCTGTTCTGTTTCCCACTCTGTGTCTGGTGAATCTTCTCACCCTTCTGCACCTCTGGCCTACACCCCAGTTCTTGTATGCATAAAAAATAAATATCTAGAAAAAAATGATCACACAAATACAAAATACCAGATACATTTTTTAAATATTTAGTATCTTCATTAAAAATAATACATTTTGAATTAGAAAAAAATATATATTTTGAATTAAGATCCAATATAGTACATTTGTAAAAGTGCTATTAGTAGCACTTTGGTTACAACAAATGAAAGGAAAATATTTCCTATAAAAGCCCTTGCCATGATTGATATATTGCCCTGTCACATGGTTTTGTTTTCCTACATGGCAGAATTTTAACGCTGCTATACTACATATATATGTGTCCATTGGGCCATAAAAATAGAGGAATATAGGAGAAACAAAGAAGGGATCCTGGAAAAAAAAATAAAAAACCAAAATGGACAGGCAACTATAAATCAGAGACATTCTGCAGGGTTTGGGGAGGGAGAGAGATGAAAACGGGGAGGGAAGAGCCCAAGGGATTATGGTGCACGGGTGACTTGGTGATGGGAATTTTACCAGGACTGCAACTGAGAGGAGAAATGAACAGTGATGTAAAATATATATAAACAAATCAATTAATCAATTAAAAAATAGGGGACACAGAATAACTTATTGTAATTTCATTTCTTTGTTCTTTCAAGATTTAAATATTGACGTCAGCTGCACGAGTGCTAGGTAAGCGCTA